TAGGGAGGGGAGGGCCAGGGCCAAAGCATAGCCTCTTTTGCTGCCATCATCGCCAGGCTCAAAGGAGCCAGCTAGATATACAGGTGGTAAATTATTCACCGGTTTGTTCACTTCAGAGCAACTCTGGGGCGAGGGGTGGAGGTGAGGAAAACATACTGTGGACAGCTAGGTAAATATCACCCAGAAGAAAAAAAAATCATATGTGGAAAAACTCACTCTGAATAAAACGTCTTAATTTAGTTAATGAGGCTGTGAAAACCTCACATTCATCAAAGTACAGACATTGTTATTATAGGGATTGGAGTAGTCATTCTGTTGGCTCGAGGCTGCTTTTATTAAGCCAGATCATACTACAGCATCTCCTCGAGTATACTGTATAATGTGTGTCTCTTTCTTCCTTATCTCTCCAAGGCAGTGCTGCACGCTGCTGTCGTCTGCAAGGCTGAGTGCTGCCAGGAGCTGCTACAGATGGACAGGTGGAGATAGTGACCATAAAGTGGCGCCACTGCTGCCTTTTATCATCTCGTCCTGGAGGCTCCGGTCTGGCCTGACCCCTGCCCTTCCTCTCCCCTTCCAATTCCTTTCCCTGCATACTGCATTTTTAATCAGCTTGGGTCATGCAATATAGAGCCATGAGACCAGAGACCACAGGCTGTCAATCAAGTATTGCCATCTCCTCCCCTTGTGCCACCTTTATTTTATTAAACAATTACCTGAAGGGGATATGTATACAGATTTTTTCCCCTCATCCTTTAACTCTCACAGAACTTTCTTGTTTCTTGTCAAACAGTAAAAATCTTCCTTTCTCATTTCCTCTCTTGCCACTTATTCTCCCTTGTGATTGTGTGGCAATTTAAACTAGACCTAGACAACACAATTTGTTCTGCAAGTGAAAACTTTGTGTCTTTTCAGTTTCATCTGCAGTGGCATGATCTTTATGCTTGGCGAGACCCAACTGGACAAGGGGAGTATGGCTGTGCTGTAATTCATCTTAAGGTCAAATTGACTCTCTCTCCTGGATCACTTCTCCGTTGCGCTGCCAAGCCCTGGAGGAAACAGCAGAGGAGAGGGCTGTAACTCAGTCAGTGTTGGTGGTGTCGAAGATGTTGGCCTGAAGGGTAAATGGCAGGAGCACAAGAAGTGGGTAGAGGGCTGAACAATTATGTTTATAGCATTGTGACATCGCATTGGTTCACACTTGGCTGGTTTAAGGGACTAAAAAGACATGGCGGTATTATCTGGCTCTTGTTAATTGGATGTTAATGTTAATGCAATGACTCTTTCATTATGCAGCCAGTCCCGCTGCCCATGCTGGCAGAGAGGATGGTGGACACGCATGCCCGTCACTCTAACGTGTCCTCATCGCTCTGACACTAGGAGAGACCATTATCACTAATTTGAGAAAATATCCTACCAGTTAGACCTGGAGCAGTGCAGAAGTCAACAGAGACGAGCAGAGAAATTAGGGTAAACACAGCTACCACTTGCCGGGGGCAGCCTCAAGCGCTAATTACAGATTTTGTGTGTTTATAATTATGGAGGGAGCTCAAAACGCCAGCCTATTCCAGGGGGTGGATTGATTCCGTGTGTGGCCATCCGTGTGCACTCTGTGCTTTTGCAAATTGGCCTTTCAGAGGGCAACCTAAAGTGCTTACTGCTCTGTACTTGTTACTGAATTAGAGAGAGTTTAGGGTGTCAGCTAATTGGTCTGAGCGCAGCATCTTATAGAATTGTGCTTGCATGTCCTGAGGCTGGCAAGTAGTGTGGTCAGCAAAGGATGGATTCAAGGTGCAGAACCAAACTGAAGAACAGGGATTCCTTCTGACAGGGCTTAGAGGATATGAAATAGTAGAAATGATGGAAGTATCTTTCACCAAAGTCTTTGAGAAAGGAAATGGTATGGCTGCTGACTGGAGAGGTCTCTTCTCAGCATGTGGCACCAATAACAGGCTGATGAGTGGCTCTGAACACAGTCAACATGGAAAATCAGCAGGGAATAGTGACTGCATACAGTAGTACATACAGAAAAAAAAACATGGCTCTGTAAGCCCGTGCAACCAAAACATACAGAGACTTTTACTTTTCCTATATATCGATGCATACATATAATAAACAAAACAGTACATGCAGTCCAAGCAAAAACACCAGTGGCATTGATGCAATTGGTATTTAAACTCCCTTTTGAATCAATATATTTTTGCAAATAATGCTGATACTACTTAATTTAACATATTGTATTAGGATGAAAGGAGAGAAAAAAGGAAACTCCTTAGCACAGCATCTTTGGTATTTACATATAAAGAAGCTGAAAAAAAGTTGAGGAAACTCTAAAACAATTATAGCTGCTGCGCAGCAATGGGTCGGGTCCGGGCATTTTTAGGCAATTCTGAGCAACAAGCAGAAGAACTGGAAGACATCTAGGAATTTAGCAACACAATCTGCCTTTTGCATCAGCTGAGGCTTGAACTCACAACCTCTGAGACGAAGAATCAGTTTCTATCTCACTGAGCTAATTAGTCAGTGACAATTCATGCGTAGCTTCACAAATTGACTAAGCCAGACGTGCAGGTTTAGTAGCTGTCCATGCATGGAAAAGCAGATTTCAAACCACTGTAAAAAATTCAGTTATCGAAACAAAAATCTGAAAATACACATATTGCGTCTAGACAGCATGGAGATGTTGGTAATTTATTTTAACAATCATTAATTTGCTTCATAAGTGAAAAACTTATGTTTAACTAGTTGAGCTATGTGCAAAGTGAGAAGCCTCAGATAGTTTCACACTGAAGTATTGACAATGGATCTTTGTGCAAAGTTTGGTTTATTTTCAAGCATGAGAAGGCAGATTTTCTAGCAGAAAAAAGATTTGAAGATGCTGCATGTCATGCTCAGGCAATTTTAAGCAGTAAGCTGGAGCACAAGAAGATGTTTACATTACAATGTGGATTCTGCACCAGTTGAAGCTCGAATCCGCAACCTCTGGAACCTAAGACGGTCATCTACCGCTCTGAGCTAATTGGCAAGAAAGCAGCTATCCGTGCATGGAAAGGCAGATTTGAAACCACTGTAAAAAAATTCAGTTATTAAGACAAAAATCTGAAAATACACATATTGCATTTAGACAACATGGAGATGTTGGTAATTTGTTTGTAACAATGATTGATTTGCTCTATAAGTGAAAAACTGATGTTTAAAAATGCCATTTTTACATTGACTCCAATTGTTCACATTAGAGCAAAATTCAAAAAGCTGTCAAAAATTCAGTTTTTGAGATAAAATTCTGAAATTTGCCACACATCATCTACCATGACTCTAGAATTTTGTCATTTTTTTCATGAACATTGAAGATTTATTTGGCAAGAATTTGCATGTATACAGTACCGTTTTAAGAAGTTTTACAGTTTTTGAAAAAAAAAAACAGAGTGATGAACTTCATATTTTTTAATAGGTTTAAGGGTACAAAAGTTTCTTCAGTATTGGGGCTACAGTTTGATGAAAGTTGTGAAGTTGTAGCACGTTGTTATGAATTTTCAAAGTTTTGAACTTTAGACGCTTGCTGTAGCGCCAACATCAGGACAATTGGCTTGAGTTTACAATCCGTACAGCATACAACACCCTCCTGTCCTTTTCAACCCTGCTTCGGATAAGGAGACCCTTTGGTGGATTCCTGATGCTCCCATAGTTCCTTGCATGCTTTCACTTACCACACAAGCAAAGAAACACTCGTCTCTACATTTTGCCAAATGTGCCATTAAAATAGCAGTGTGTGAGGTACAGGCGCACCTGGCTTTTAAAGGAATGGGAGATGACACTGACTGGTTAAATTATCAACCACTTATGTCACACCCAAAACACACCTATTAATAATTAAAGGACTAAATATAACCCATTTGCAACTTGCACCTTTGTGCCCAGATTATGCGCAGTTTAACTAGAAAAAGAAGAGTTGGATATGCCCTAAATGCATTTGGGCCATACACTTAAGACCATGCACTACAGATCATTTAAACAGGGCCCTTTGCGTTTCTACTCTGACTTTAAGTGACCCCATGTATGAATTGCGGAGTATCGACCAGCAATGTACACTGCCATTTGCCACATTGTTATTTTTGGTATCAGCATCTAAAGCAATCTGCTGTGATTTGCATTGGCCTCTACTGTTTTTCACTAACTTCATATGCATTTATACTTTCCCAAAATGTTATTTTGAATCCTATTTGAACACAACTTGATACTGTGAACATTCTTGTTTGTGTAAACCAGTGACTGATTGATTGATTGATTGATTGAAATTTTTATTGGTAAAACCAAAAGGATAAAAACACAATAAAGCCCGAAGGCTTGTTTCCATTGTGGTCCTTTGGATATAGAACATATATGGACAGGAAACAAAGACAGTACAAGAGCCAATATATATGACAAAGACATTGCAATACAACAGCCAATACATAAGACAGACAATGCATAGACATCACAGCATAGAGAGAAGACATATTAAGGAAGAGCATATGAAAAATACATGAATTAGCTAAACTCCATACTATCATGGCTGATTTGTAGTTAGGATAGATTATTCATCATCCAGCTTTTTAGTTTTAAAACTTGCTAAGGAACTGGCTAATTTAATATTTGTAGGTAACCCATTCCACAAGACTGCTGCTGAGTATAGGAAGGTATTTTTCCCCATAAAAGTCCTAAAACGCCAAGGCACGAAATCAGTAGAGCTACCCATAGTGGAATACCCATGAGTGTCCCCAACCCTTACAAAATAGTCCCACAAATATTTTGGAACTGATTTGTTAATAATCCTGTGAACTAGGCACAACTTGAACTGGGTTACTCTCTCCTCTACTCTGAGCCACTTCAGACTGATGAAGTGAGCAGGAAGGAGGTGGGTTCTGGAATGGAGTTTGAGTATTACTCTAATTACTTTGTTTTGAGAGGTCTGAAGTTTATTTTTCTTTTTAAGACACAAAAAGAAAGAGTTGTTTAGTGCTTACCAGCCCAAAGATACTGATAGTACTGCACCAGGTCTGAGGCCAACACCAGGGGATGGTTGGAGTTGAAGGGTGGTTGCAGCTCATTCCACTGTGGAGTCCTGTTCCAAAAGACCAATCAGCTATGAGACTGACTGTATTGGGGGGGGGAGGACTTTTTCTAGGATGAAGCCGTTAACACAGTGTTACCTGGCCAGAGTCCAGCAGGCCCTTGGACAGGTGCTAAGCTCCAAAGGTGTGTCATCACTAATTTTTTGAGCAGTGCTGATTGGCCGGGGCTCCAGAACATGCTCCACCAAGTTACCATAGCAACTGATGATGTACAGCGAGTCGACAACCGACTGTCTGGACTGATCTATGAAGAGGATGTAAAATAAGGCAGTGATAAAACTACTGATTAAGCTGAAACTACATATGATTATTAAAAAGTGCATTCTCAATATTGAGGAGAAACTGTAGGCAGTAAAACATGTGTCAAGATGTATCCATTTGCAAATGCAAAAGGGCCTGTGGCCACAATCTAACCTTTGTCCCTTTTCATGTTGGGGTTGGTGATGAACCAGGAGCGAGACGAGGCAAAAATGGCGGCCACACAAAACTCTCCACCACTGGACTTGCTCGGGGAAATCTGAGGGGGTGGCTTAACTTTGCTTTAGGAAGAAAAACAGTACAGTGATGAGACAAAGTAAAAATTATACTGCAGAGTCTGGGGTCTCAAAGGTGCTCCGTGTTCTGTTTGAACACTTTAAAGAGAATAGTTCCAATTTCTTTTAGTGTGGTTGTACGGGGTATTTATTTATGGTCTGTGTACTACATACAGTAGATATCTGTTGGCATGCCCCCAGTTTGGAGAAGCGGCAGAAGTACTGACACAGAAGCTATGAAAATGTACTTTTGTGGATTAGGGGCAGCAGCAAAAAAAGTCTACAGCAGTTTAAGTTTACGCTATAGTGAGAGTATTTTCACCACTTTACCTTTCCATTTGACAGCCCTCACAGACGGGGAAGCCATTATTGGCCTAAGTTCCCCTTGTCAAAGCCACCAGACTTCAATTTACAAGAACAGTAATTTTGGTTCGCTGAACACAAGAGCTGCTGGTCTACTGCTGCTTTGATCAGTTAGTTTGTTTGTGTCATTGTGTGACTTTCGTGAATCCAAACTAAACTTTTTAAACGCCAAAGTTACTCAATAACACAAACAAAATTCCTAGTGGAGGCATTGGTCGACCAGCAGCTCCTGTGTTCAATGATGTTAAATCACTTTTTTTTCTCAATGTAATCTTTGAAGAGAGCAATATAACAACTTGAGTTCCCCATTGTAAATCACTGTCTGACTGTAGGTGAAAATACTCTCAATATAGCATACACATAAAATGATACTGATTTTTTTAGGTGGCGGAAATGAGTTTTATTGCTGACCCCTCCACATCTCTTAGCTTCTGTGTGAGACTCAAGTCTACTTCTCCAAACTGGGGGTGTGCCGACTGACATCGACTGTATGTTGTACAGTGGATAAGTATCTCAAACAAACCCATTTCAAAATATCTGAACTGTCCCTTCACATGTCAAACTGAAATTACTTGTGATTGATCTGTAACCAAATGAGACCATTGAGAAGGAAACTGCTAATTCCATGCTTATATCAAATTAAAGTTTGGTGCTGTAGAGCAGTTCACTCATTCTCTTGTACAGAAAAAGAAATCCAAGAATTTTTCTTCCAAAAGTGACTTTTTGGCCAAAATTGTGAACGTCAAGAACTACGCAGCACCTCTAATACCGAGATTTAAATCTGTGTATGTTCCATGAATGAATGGACAGCCACAATCCAATTTACAAGAAGTGTGGATTTTCAACAGTGTAACTCAAGAAATGTAACACCTTAGAGGAAAGTATATGAAAATTACACACATCATGATATCTAGCAATGATATAACAATAATTATACAACAATTAGTTCCAGCCCTGCAATCTGATTGGTCGAGAGACAGTAAAATCGTGACGATATTGGAGTACAACATCACGGTTATTTCACTGTATATGTATCACTCCACCTCACAGCTGATTACAATCAACAATCAAATCAAAACTGATGGTTAGTGTCAGTTAGGTCAGAAGTTGCGTTGTAGGCTAATTAATTCATCCACTGTCAAACAGCCAAAAATATGGATTTATTTCCTAAAATAAGTTTTGAATTGAACTATGAATGGTCATCAGAGGAAGATGAGGGAGAGGAGAAGCTGAATCCATCTGAGCACACATCCAGGTTTGTCAGTGTTTCATCAGCGGAGCTCAATGACTTGGAGAAAAGCAACATACTGTCAGATCAGAAGGCAGAGTCGGCTGTGCCTGTGAAGCGACAGTCCACCATGCAG